CTCAACTTTTTTCACTTTAGCTCCACTTTTTATCACTCTCACTTTCACTTTTTGACAGCATGTACACCCACTTTTGGAAGTGAGTACCCCCTCGAATCCTTCAGTGAGAGTAAATGTGAGATTATTTGCTGTAATTAAAAGACAGTATGGGATTCTAGTGAGGACAATTGTGCATTTCTACACCGACTGATAGTGTTTGATACTCCAATTATTATTTCTAAACAGCAGTTTAAGCTCAAAGTACACCGACACACAGCACTGCTTCGAGGAGGCCGAGCCGACCTCCAGGTCACAGCCGACCCACGCGACACTGGCAGCTCGACGCCCCAGCCCAGGTCGCCGCCTAGCAGCTGGCCGTCGTCACTTGTAGCTGGCGCCGCCCTGGAGGCGTGCGGCGCGAGCCATGGCAGGCCATGCTACTGCGGTCGTGGGCCGTCGCTATCCGGCGCTGCTTCTGACGACGCCATGGATTGCGAGTACGTCGCATCCAGCTCCTCATGCAATTGCTCAGTGATGCGGGACGTTGCCCAGGACCTCGAGCTCTCTACAACCGTGGAGGAGATAGACGAAGTGTGCGATGAGGTCGTAGCTGTGGGTACTTGAGCGTGTGTGAGTGAAGGTGGGCGGGATGGGCGGTACTCGTCGAGGTGGCGCAGAGCCGGTATGGTGTGCAGCGCCAGGGTAAAGGCCCTGGAGCTGGTGGTGTACGGGCGGTGTATGTGCGTGCGGGACGGGGAGTATACCTCCTCGAGGTGGAGTAGGGCCGGCATGGTGGAGGCCCTGGTGCTGTCTGTGTATGTGTGGGCCGGCAGTCCTCGAGGTGCGTGTGTCTCATAACTTTGTTTGTTCCAGGATTGCCCACTCGCCGCCGCCTTGCGAGACGAGGATGTCGGTCGTTGTCGCCGCTCCACAGCAACTCCAAAACCTTGATGTAAGTGTGATCATACCCTTCCATGCCCCTTTCACTTTCTGATCAAATGACTAATCATATTTTTTTCTACAGTTCGCTTTGCCACTCCTCTCATTTGAGTTTGGGCAGCCAGATGCCCACAGCACGCCTGCAAAACCTGAGGCTGTCCAGGGCTGTGCACGGCGCCCACCCGTGTTTTTAGCCCGGCCTTCTGCTTTAGAAAAGCTATCTAGCGGGCTTATGCAAACGACCTCGTGTCTGTCTGTGTGTCTGTCTTTTCCACTAGAAGGAGATGTGCTAGAGACTTCAAATTTTCAGGGTATCTTAAGGTTCACTCCTAGAAAATGAAATACCTACGGCAAATCCTGGCAACCACCACTAAAGGCCTAAAAGGGGGTATCAAAGAAAATGGGGTAGGTCAAAAAAGTCAGAAAAAAATATTCTCATCAAACTCATCAAAGTAGAGCCCTTAGGATAAAAATTTCGTCCGTTTGGCTCTATCTCTAACCGTTTAGGCGCTGGAGGGTCTTTTTTGACGAAAATAAGCTTAAAATTGCTGTAGTGAACAATAAGTTGTAGAAGAAGGTCCAAAACCGCAATAGAGGAAAAAAAACTCCCAACGCCCCCACCCTAACTACGTTTTCTAAGCAGAAGGGTGGGTTGTAGTCGCGG